ATTTCCAAATACACCCTTAATGAACCAAACAATATAATACAATTTATGTTCTATTTCTTGTTTATTCCATTCCCTATGAAATAACATTCATATAATCTCTTAAAATTCATTCCATAAACCAAATGTGCTGTTAATCGTACGGTATGTATGGACATCTAAGAGATGTTACCAACCTGCAAGTAGAATAAAAATACTTCTTCAAGTTTTAGGCGAGAAATTAATTTGTTGATACTAAAGTATGTTATTATCTGCAAAAAGAGACAAGTTATATAATAACGGTAAATAAATTGATGCGTCATTAGAACTACTCCCTGGTTAGTAATATCCCATCTCTGCCTGCTGCATTTCTTCCTCCAATCTCCACCCTCAGCCTCTGCTATTCAGCAGATTTCAATTCATTACAAATAGAGGGGAGGGTTTTTACAGTTACAACAACCAATCTCTATATAACCAACCAACCAATTCTACGATTATTCATCCATCTGCCTCCCCTTGTACAGAAAAAAGAAAAAAAAAATTGGGGAAAAAAACAAATTAATATCCAACGCATATAATAAATCAAATCCCCTAGAGGTCGGAAAAGAAAAGATAATGGGAACACAAATCGTCCTTGTTCCCTCGGAATAGGACTGTTTCAAACCAAATTGGAGTCATAAAATTACACTAGTACAATGTTGAATCCCTGCCTCTCTGGTACAAAACTCATAGCTTGAAATGATCTCTTCCAATCCCTTCATGCTCACTTGCTTCCAGATCTTATGCTCCTGTTGTATCGACGGGGTTGTTCTTAAACCGATCAGACTATACTGGGTGCATCGCCTTCCCAACTACAAGTGGCACGCGCCCAGCGTGTCCGGATGCAGTCGACTAAAGGAGCGTGTTGAGAAGGCTCGGGTTTAGACACTTCAGTGACTGTGTCCTTTGCCCCGGGATCAATTTTAGCCGGAACGTCTGACATAAATTCTTCTGGAGTCCACCTCGGGGGAACTGAGACCCTCAACTTAGTTAGTCTTGGTCTTTGTAGGGGAATTTCTCTTCCAGACGACGGCTGGTTCCCGTTCATAACTGATTTTGCAATCCCATTGAAGTGATAAAGATCAAAAACCTTTTTCCCCGATAAGCCACTAGAATCTTTCAATCCTCCAAGATTCTTGTCGAGATCCAAAAGAATCTGCCAAAATTCACTCCACACGATGAATCCCGTGTTGCAAAGTTGCTCGAGCTTCTCAGCTGGGAGAATAATATTGGTATCCCGAAGGACTTGGTGGAAACCTTCCACACCGATGAACCCTCCACCACCGCTTTGATCATGCACATCAAATGCTCGTCGGATCTGTGATTCTCTACCCTCAAGTTCATTCTCCTCTTGAACTTTGGTATCAAGAGCAAATAGGACCGTATAATGAGATTCGCTACCAACAACCCAAATCGGCCACCTTGGGCACTTCAAATACTGCCCAACCTTACAGTAGTTTAGGGATTCTAGCAGAGTAAGGAATCCAACTTCAACAGTTGTGGATATACCCTTCACAAACATGCCACCACCTAAGTCCATCATCCCATCAAAAACATTTGCCACAGCCCTTCCACATAGCAATAGGTTTACAATTTCCTGTTATACAAATACGGAGGTTAATATAGTTGCTGAAAGGAATTGTAAATATGTAAGGAGAGTGGAGATTCATTGCTCCTCGGGTACCTGAGAAGCATGCCCAAAAGGAGCAGTAACCAATGGTTGAGAGGGATCATCCCTGTCAGCCTGAACAGAATCCTAGATGAACATAAAAAAACATCGTCAATACACAAGCAAGCTAGGTAAGGAGACAGACATATAAGTGCAAATTGCATGTCTCCAACAACATCATTGTTATTCAAGTACTCAAGGACATCTGAGATCTTAATTTGCCGTTGTACTTTAACAGGTCCTATACAAAAAGATGGTGTCCTCTTTCATGTGAAATTGTGGTATTAAAAACATTTCACCTTGAAGCCCAAGTGCTATGAAACTTGAATATCCTCGTCATAGCAAATCTAACAAAACTGTAAATCGCACAAAACTATAGACATACATTCAATTTTGAAGTGGTGTATGCATTTCAATATACATGCAAAGTACTCGTATCTACTGAGAATGTGCTGCAGTAACAATGGAAAAATATGAAATCGGAGTAATACAGGTTTCAAAAAAACAACACATTACCAATGTATAGGACAAATTTTGAATAAGAAATCACTGTTGGGAAACTTCTCAAGTTACAAGCCTCGTAGACTTCATAATTATCAGGGATTGATGTCTTAAGGATATCAAAGAAGATTACTTAATGAAAATCTGATCGGTTTATCCGAGCACCAATTAGTCTAACTACATAACACATTTACTCTTTAGATTAATTGTTCCTTTGTGAATGTACCAAAAGTTATATTAGAAATGATCCCCTTCTTTTGTGGGCTGACTGAGGAAATGTCTAAAATTGAAAATAGATTTTGTTATTTGCCATTGTGGTCTACATTAGTATAGTTAACCACCCCAACATGCACTGCCCTTCCTATATTTCGATATAGATTTCACCTTGATAAGCTGCTAAAAGACATTCTACAAACTTCTCTCAAAAATAATATACCAGGAGCTTTCTAATTTTGGATAGATAGGTAATCAAAATGCACAAAGTTAAAAGAGCATCTAACTACTTAAATGATACAAAGACTACATGCAAATGCTGGATTTCATCTTTTTCCATGATAAATCAATTAGATTTTAACCAGACCACTACTAGATTTCATCTTTCTAGTATGCCTAAAGAAAGAGTAACAAATTACATGTCTTTAAACGGAAGCTTTGTCACAAAATAACTTACCATTCCTCGAGATAGCAAAGCAGATATGAGGAAAAGCATTGCTCCCATACGACTCCGGTATACAGGAAGCATTGCTTCGATCCTTTCAAGTGCACTTGCTGGTGAAGTGTATTCATTAACACTTAGAACATTGTGGAAGTCCAAGCCTGATTCAATTGTAAGACCGTCAAGCGCTTTTGCAATGACCTGTATAGGAAGAAATCTATTAAAAATTCACAAAAAAAAAAAAAAAAAAAAATTATTATTATTACCTACAGTGGTTGGTTCTAAATAGTAAATACATAGGTTTCTTTTGAAACTCAGCAACTTGCTGCATTTCAATTATTCATTGAAGACAAAACCCGTAAAATACAAGGACTTAAGAAGTATTACATAGGCTGATAGGCATAGCATTGTAAAATAAATGAATAGAGAAGTTATCATTCTTCAAGGAAAATTATGGATACCAAAGGTGTTCCCCACTGAACAGCATATGAACAATGTTTTAGTGCCTTACCTCATCCCTTGAGCTGTCAACAGACCCTTCAAGGTCACCATCGAGAATTCTCAAAGATGCTATAACAGCCCTTCCATTAGTTCCACATGAAAACAATATCTCGGCCATACTTCTCACCAATGCTCTGTCACGATGTAGCCAAAAGTTACCATACTTCATGCTTATGTAAAATATTCAAAGGTTTCATGTGAGATAATTTCAGGAAAAAATGAAGGAAATTCAATCTTTCTTACACAGTTACACTCATATATAGTTATGTGACATGTCTCTCTAATTCAAAGTAAAGTTAGGTATTATTGTCAGACTAGGTTATCAGATATGTAGGAAAAAAACCATACAAATATACATATACACACACATATAAATATACATATACACACACACACACACATATATATACAGTGCCAATTGGCACCGTGCCTCTTCATACCCAGTGTAAAAAGCCTGCTATGAGAAAATCAAAATCAAAACATAAAATCTGAAAAGATGCACTAACTGCATTTGTTATTGTGGGGTATTACTGCAGTGGGCAAAAATATCTCTAATATTGTCAACCAAGGAATAACTGAGGATTATCTGACTGATAAAAAGAATTTAGATTTTAGATTGAGTTTGAAAGGCATTAAAGAGTTAAATTAACTGATATAGATGTCTAATTGACACTATTGCCACTCATTCAGTGACTCATGATGAAATTGGAACTAGTATATCATTTTCAACTAAAATTAAAAATTACTCCAATTACATGATCTACTCTTGCCAGATCATAAACAAGTCAGAAGAAGCATAAGAATCCAGGCCATACTTCGTGTACAATGTTATTTTTCCTTTCATCTTGAAAGACAATGATATTAGAACATCAAGAAACAGAATTCGCAGATTATTCATCTTGATTTTAAATCACTTAAAAAAATAGAGATTACTCACATTGATTTTTTGTCCTCGGTAAGAGAAGAAAAATTATCAGCACCTACATATTCATGTTTGGAAAATCCTCTCAAGCCTGTATTTGTTGATATGCTTGACATTGCAGTATTCAACTCCTCCATGGAAAATAAAAGGTATTTTAGAACAAAAGCCTGCACCATCAAAGCATGTTTTGTGAAAAAGATGGAAAGTTGCTAATGCTTTATAGATAATTTACTATCAACATGAATGCACAAATCAGATTCAGAGCATTACAAAAGGTCTATTCATAGTGGTTAAACACTCCATGAAATCCTGTATGTCAAAGGTAAGACTCTTCTTTACACCAAAATAATAACGCATTCAAGCAGGCGTATTTCTATGCATGCGCACAAAGTTTTTTAAAGCAACAAGCATAGAAAAGCGACAGGGTTACCTCCCTTCAAAGTGCAAAGAGAAGCGTTGCTTTCGTATAAAAAGCAACACAAGGTAGCAAAATTTATTTTTAGTGAAAATTACACTTTTGGTCCCTTAGTTGTTCCCTTGTTACAAATGTAGTCCTTGTCTTTCAATTGCTGTCAATCTAATCCTTCAATTATTAACCAAGTCATTAATTTAGTCCATGTCTTTCAATTGTTATAAACCTAGTTCTTCAATTGTTGACCTATTTGCAAATCTAGTCCTTCAATTGTTGACTTAGTTGTAAATTTAGTGCTTTAAGCAAATGACTGGATTTGCAACTAGGCCAACAATTGAAGGACTAGATATACAACAATTAAAATATAGACGGACTACATTCGTAACCCATGAACAATTGAATGACTACAAGTATGACTTTCCCTCAATTTTATAATCTAGAATGGTATTTAAATGGTTCATAATGCAATTTTTAAGAGAAAAATACTATAGTTGACTTCATTTTATAACAATACAAGCATATTGCATCCTTATCTTTGATGTATACCATTAAGCGAAAAAATGATTGCTTTTGACGAGTATACAAAATTCTACAATTGATATAATAAAAATAGTATTATCATATTAACATAATATATTCCATTATTCATCAGTCATTATTTATCTAAATAAACACAAGCACATGGTTGAAAAAATCGCTCGGTGCTCCTCAGGCGCCCGGGGGCACCTAGCGCCTAGGCGGCGATTAATCGGCGCCTAGGTGCCCGTGTATTTTTTTTATTTTATTTTTTATTTTTAAAAAATTTGTTTAAAATTTCTAAGACTTGATAATTATAAACTATTTAATACTTTAAAAGTTAATTCTAAAATATTAAATATTAACCTAAAAAGCATCTAGAGTTTCAACAATTTAGGATTATTTCGCTCAAAATGATGTCGTTTTGAGTGAAATAAACCATTTAAAAAAGAATGAAACAATAGCTAATCGGCCGACTAGGCAACCTTGTCAGTACCTAGGCGGCCTAGTCGGTGCCTAGGATGCTTAGACAGTCAACGCCTAGCCGGCGAGCCGCCTAGACCACCGATTATGGTGATACGCTAGGCGGCCTAGTCGGTGCCTAGGATGCTTAGACAGTCAGCGCCTAGCCGGCCAGCCGCCTAGACCACCGATTATGGTGATACGCTAGGCGGCCGGCTGGCGCCTAGCGCTTAGGCGCCGATTAATCGGTGCCTAGGCGGGATTTTTGCAACACTGCACAAGCATCATATTGAATAGATATCGAATTATTAATCAAGTATCATATTGAATGCATTAGATAAGGTTTTATTTATTTTAAGAAAAGCCACACTGCCCACCCTTTGTTAATTAAATTATTAATAAGGCCATAAGGGTTTAAGACACCAATGGTTGGAGTGTGCACTACACACTCTTCTCTTTTTGTCCACACACAGCAGGTCGAGAGAGACAAAGAGGGAAGAAGCAAACAACCAAGAAAGAGAGGGGAAAAAAAACAGCAATAGCCAAGCTTCTTCGTGACGAATGAAGGAGAAGAGATTGGAGTCGTCTGAAGCTATGGAGTCGATTCTCTAAGGTTAAGTAGCATACCTCTTAGAGGTTGACCGATTCTTGCCTAAAGCTATGGAGTCACCAACAGAATGCCAAAAGCTATGGAATTACCAATTGATCGCCAGAAGCTATGTGCTTGCCATGTACTAGATCAAAATTTGAGGAAGATCGCTTTTCCTCACTTCATTGTTCTTTTATGTTTTCCATTGCTTCACTAAAGTGACGCAATGTAGTGTTGCTCGTGCTCACTTAGTCACTTAAGCAACAAAGAGCTTGCTTTCGACAAGTGTGCACACGCGAGTCAAAACCCCATCAACACATCTTCTCATTTTATATGCATGAAACTCAAAGGAATCAAGTTCCATGGTATTTTAATTTGTTTACTATTGGAGCACATTAACTTTCATGCCTTACTACTTTTGTTTCCAAGGAATCAACATTGATACCTTGCTATAGTTGGTTAAGTTTTATAGGGTTTTCTTGCGATGATATTTAACCTTCCCTACAGACTTACACTTCTCCATAATAAATATATCTCCACAATCATGAACTAAACTTTTAATAGATTCTTAGATAAGTACGTTCAATTCACATGAAAATTTGAACAACATATTCATGATATATTGTTTTTCCTTTACACATCCACAAGCTGAACATTTTCAAAGATACATAGGGTCAAAACAATCTACAGAATATTTTCTGGAGAACTCCATTTTCTTATATAAATCAGAATATTCAGTCAATAGAGCATGATAGAATAGAGCTGTGGAATAATTGAATCAAGGGAACTATTTCATATTTGTTGGAGAAATGGTAAGATGTATCATCTGATTCCTTTTTCTGCCTTGGATGCAGTAATAATATGAGAAGTAATTCTTGACAATTACATAACAGAAATTGTATTTAAATTACAAATGTAAAGAAGAGAAATCCGAGTAATTACTTGAATTGCTGCTAGTACACCACATGGCCCACCTTCATGCTGCACTAAACCCATAGATGTTTCTGGATCACAACTAAACCTACAGAAAGTTTGTTAGCATATGTTAGCAAAATGGGATCTATACCCAAGACGAAGAACTCCATAATTTTGAACACAAGATTAAAATATAAATGAATAAATAATAAATAATAAATAATAAATAACTAGGACTCAAAAACAGAACAATTTTGAACACAAGATTAAAAAATAAATGAATAAATAATAAATAACTAGGACTCAGAAACAGAATAATAAACATAACACTAAAACCAATAACAAAAGTTCTGAGTGCATAAAATAACCACAACATTGTGATCCAATCAAGTATTTACAAGTAAAATGGGACCAACTGAACAGTGAAACTTATTAGGCTTGAAGCCGAGACTAGAAGAGGAGAAATTCCTGTTTCACAAAACAGAGCAGCATCCTCTTGCACCACTGATCAATAGCATTTTGAGTAGATATTAAATCAATGTATGAGTTACTCAACCCATAAACTAGTTGTCAAAGATTACATAACTGAAAATAGCAGTTCTGATACAGGAAATTTCAGCGTTGTTTAAAACAAAGAAACTATCCAGCTATCCTGCAAGATGAGACATCACACTTTTCACTTTACCTAGTACTCCCTCTTGGTACAATAATTATTTTTTCTAGCAAAAACAAATTTTTTTTTTTTTAAAAAAAACCAACAACAACAACAAAGGATGGAATCATTATGGCCTTATTTACAAATACAAATGAGAAGGTCATTAACACACAACTACACCATAAACCTAAATTAAGATGGGTAAAACTCCAACCGGACAGGTTGTGTTGCTAACAATTTATTCATAAGATTGTAAACAGAAACATATTCAATATTTACACCATGGTTTCAAGGGCCAACAAAGTCAGTCACATAATTAAAGAGCATCTGTTCTACACCTCACTATCAAAAACATATCAATTGTTTCTTCAAAAGGTCCCACATTTTGACAGTAAAAGAGTTTTACTAGCAATCTAATAATGTGCTAGTACTTGTTAGAATAAAGTACAACACAATCTGCTTATAACTGATTTTTTTGCCAAAAAGATTCTGCTTTATTTTGGAACATAGGTATCATTATGTCAGCTTAAATGGAATGAATATGTTTGACCAATAGATATATTCCAGCTTAGGACACCTTTACTACCTACCCTTTCTAAGTGTGCACCATTTATCGCCATTACTTCAAATCATATGACTTCCAGCTCAAAGATCAGTTGTTTGCTATTCCACCAAATGTCACAAATAAAATGAGGTGAAGAACAGCCAGTTATAGACTTATAGTTATATCCAGCCAAGACATTGTAAATGATTCTGCTGAAGGATGCACAGTTATAGTTCTATTAAGTTCAGACATTGCAAATGATTCAGACAGTGTCATATTACCTGTACATTACACATTAGATATACTTCCCAAGGGGCGTATCAGCTTATTATAGGATGGTAAGTAGATAATACCATGCATGAAGAAATACAAAACCATCTGTCTACCAATAAGGCAATACTGACCACAGCAATTGCCAAGGATCATAAGCAACTGCTTTGATTTTATAAAATGATAACATACCTACAAGTTAAATGTTCACTCAACAGGCCATTCTAATCACAGATTAAGTGAGTTTCTAACTCAATGTGTGGCAATTTCTTACAATATTAGATTTGCAGAAAAATAGTCATGGATTATGAAATAAGTTTGTTTTTCCTAATTTTAAAGGGAAGGAAGAAGAAGCCAACCATACAGCATTATAGCTAATGATTAAAAAAAAAAAATACAATTCACATGGTGGCAGTATACACTATACAGCATATAAAAGCAACTTGCCAACATTTTCACAACAATGGGGAATTCATGAGCATAAGCAATTAAAAGTCAACAAATGAGTGATTTTTAAATGAGAACTAATTCAAACAATTATAGATGCTAAGAAACATGAATCACCAGAAAATAAACTTCTCCCGATTCAATTATATTGAATAATGAGCTAAATATACAATAAAGTTGAAATTTTTGAAGAAACAATAATGCAAAATCCATAGAGTGAACTGGACCATACCTAATGCCCTGATTACTCCACTGCCTAAGTACTTCTTTCGTGACTTCACTGCCGAAAATCAACGAGAACAACTGCCCAGCCTCCGCAACAGATAACTCTTTCCCCAAGTTGACATTTTTATCCTCACGCTTGACCAAATTAAGAGCCTTATCTATTCCAGCACTTGAACCACCGGGCTTCTCTTGTTTCGCAGCGATCGCCCCTCTCATTTCCACAGTTCCAACCACTGTAGCTGCCGCAGCGTCAGCGGCATGCTTCGCGGCGGCCATCATCCGCTTCTCGGCAGCGGCCGCCATCAGCTCCCGTTGCTTCCGGCGGTTCCTCACCTCCGACGACTCCTCTTCTTCCCCGCCCACGGCGTTTTCTCCCGGCTTGCTCCTCTTCGGCTCCGGAGAGTCGCTCTGCAGACTCATCCTCAACGCCATCTTCAAATCCTCATCCTCTTGATCCGCCATTACATCAACAAATTCTGATCCAAACCTAAAAATTAGATCTTTCAAGTCCCCGGATGATACCAAACTTGAGAATTAGGGTTTCTGATTCAGACACTCAGACACAAATATTCCAAAACATATACGTGAAGATTAAAGTGAGAGTCGAAGATAAAGACTGAATCGAACTTACAGGTACAGTTCATATCAGTATCAGTATCGATATATACGCATATGACAGGGTTTGTATATATATACACCATTTACATAAATTTCAGAACAAGATATATATATTCGATAACAGCAAGATAACTGCTGTAAATTAAAGCCTACAAAACGACGACGTTATATTACTCTTTCCAGTATATACGGTCATACGGTCATACTAATTAGTCAATTAAGTCCAAAACGGCCAAGATGTTACATTGGTACTGTACGACTGCATAAGTATATGCTAGCATTTTTTCTTCTTGGTCCTTCAGTTATATCCGTGGTACAAATTTATTCTCTGTATTATATTTGTAATTATCTTTAGCACTTAAGTTATGTACGAAGTAACAATCTTAATCCTTCAAAATTTATTTTCACTACCAATTTGTCACTTAATATAGTGGTTGATTTGGTCCTTCAATGACTAAAATCGTCACTCTATTCATAACTTAAGAGTTAAAGATGGTCATAGATATAACTTATAGACTAAGTTTGTACCACAGGTGTAACTAGAAAATAAAAAAATATAATTCATTTTTTTAAAGGTTGTGTTTGGTAAATAGTTATTAGTTAATAGATGTTAGCTGATTGGGTTAATGGGTTTGACTAGTTGATAGGATTAGCTGATTGTATAAAAGTGTTTAGTGAATTAGCTGTTAGCTGATAACTGATTACATACAAAATGACTTCCTCAAAAAACTACTTTGAGAAGTTTTTTAAATTTTAGCATTTTGAAGCAATAAGTTGTTAAAAAAACTAATTAATTAAATATTCATATTGATTGTTTAACCTAGTCAAACAACTAATAGTGGTCAAATAAACCAAAATTAACTGATAAACTAACTATTTTACCAAACATGACCTAACAAAAATTTAAGGAGTGTTTTGAGAACAATTAAAACGGCAATTATTTGAATAAATTATTATTTTATTATTGTAATCACAAAAACTTCAATTAGAAGGGTATATATTTGACCAATTGTCATATAATGTGATTACATCTTAATTATCAATAAAAAATGAATAGTCATAGATTCGAACTTTGAAGTGAGGACTTAAACTTTTTTGAACTAAAAATGTTTAAAAAAGTATAGAATATATATTACATTATAAAGATTCATAAGTACTAAATAATTTTTTTTTAATGATAGAAATTTGGTTAGAGGTGGTGTGTCACCACCTCTTTGTTCTCCCAATTGTTTTCAAATCTTCTTTAATAACTAGAATTTCTACATTATATTTTTCAAAAAATAAAAAATGGAATAAAAAAAATGGCTTTTTTTTTTGGAATAAAGGTCAAATAAACTATCGAACTATACATAAAATGTAATTAGATCATTAAACTTAAAAAACATGCAATTGGATCACTGAACAATGCAAAATGATGCAATTGAACCAAAATTGACATGTTTAGCCATTAATTTGCTGACATAGAGGTTATAATATTAAAATAATAATTTATTATTTTATTAAATAATTTTAAATAACAATTTTTTTATTAAAAAAATGCCTCCCTTCGTCTCCGACAATGAGACTAAGGGACCTCTTCGTCTCCCTGCCGGAGAAGAAGGGACACCTTCGTCTCCGGCAGCTTGGAGACAAAGGCGTTTTTTTTTTTTTTTTTTATTTAAAATTATTTAATAGAATAAAAATTTATTATTGTCATATTATAACCTCAACATTAACAAATTAACAAGTAAACATGTCACTTTTGATTCAATTGCATCATTTTATATTGTTTAAAAACTCAATTACATATTTTTATAGTTCAATGGTCTAATTACAATTTTGTGTGTAATTCGATGGCCTGTTTGACCTTTATTTTATTTTTTTTAAAGAAATAAACTATCATCTAAAATCATTTCCAGTGAATATGCTTCTTTGGTCTCTCCCTCCCCACACACACAGTATTTTTGAAAAACCAATATAAACTACTACGTAGTATATATTGAAAAATACTACACCCAACAATATTAGAGATAATTGAAATTGTAATATCACACTAGACACCATTTTCACACACTGTATTTTTTTACATGCATTAATAAATGTATAACTAAGTGGTTGCAATAAATATTTTCTGTCAAAATCTTTATAATATGGTTTTTAGGTCAAAGTATTTATGAAATTCATGTACTAGTGTTTTGTTCAATTTAATCCTTATATATTTTTTTTTAAATTTAGTCCCTGTAATTTATAAAGTGGTGCAATTAAAGACAATAGTTAACGATGCTAATATTATAGTTAACTTAGCTTACATAGTACTGACATCATCATTGTTACATCATTATATTTATATCTCAACTCATATATTATTTTATAAATATTTAAAATTAATTATTTTACCATCAATATATTACACTAATGTGTCCAAAATAAATAATTACAATCATATATGCTCCCAATGAGATTTGAACACTTGATATCATCATGCTTGTAATTATTTATTTTTGACATATTAATGCAATATATTGGTGATAAAAATAAGTAATTTTAAACATTTATAAAATAATATATGATTTTGGAATATAAATATCATGATGTGGCAGTGGTGATCTCAACGCTATATAAGCTAAGTTAACAGTAATATTAATACTGTTAACTATTATCCTTAATTGCACCACTTTTTAAAGCACAAGGATTAAATTGAACAAAATAAAAGTGCGAAAACCAAATTAAACAAAACACTATAACACAGGGATCTCAGAGGTACTTTGACCGGTTTTTTAATATAGCATTTTATATAAAATGCATGGTATTATACAATAAACTAAATATTAAATACATGACTATATCTTTTACTATATTGTTAAAGTTACAGGCGTTTGGTTGCAGAGATGAAATTAGGACAGAAAATAATTGTAATTCTATTTGAAAACTTTGAGAAGAATAGTGTCGGAATAAAGTGTAAATTTAAATATAATTTTAGTGTTTGGTTTGTAAGAATAGAATTAATAAGAATTTAAATTCCAGAATTTGGTATTCATGAAAATTGAAAGGCAATCTAAAAACATAATAAGACTCAATCAAAGTTATATCCCTAATTTATTTCATGTTTTTAGTGCAAATCATTTTGTACATTGTGTTTTTACAGTTGTACTATATAATTTAATGGACAAAAATACACCTACCGTTATAACTTTCGTTATTTTTCCAATTATTATTATTACCATATACATGTATCCACAATATATTTTCTTATATTCTTTAATAATAATAATATTTGTAGACATTATATATATATATATATATATATATATATATATATATGTGTGTGTGTGTGTGTGTGTAGATAGGATTAATATAATAAATAATTTGATTTTATATAGATTTTAATTAGTAAGGATTTGTTTTTTTGAAGCAATTAGTAAGGATTTGTTAGTTATCTTTAAAAATATAAATATTGAACATATGTTTTTTGAGCATCGGGCATTGAAAAGACTAGTAAGTAGTGCTTATTGTTGTTGTTGTTGTTGTTGTATATTATTATTATTATTATTGTTGTTGTTGTTGTTGTTGTATATTATTATTATTATTATTATTATATTATTATTATTATTATTGTTGTTGTTGTTGTTGTTGTTGTTGTTGTTGTTATTATTATTATTATTATTATTATTATTATTATTATTATTATTATTATTATTATTATTATATTAGGGATAAGGATCAAATTGATCGACCTTTCAATTATAAGTCAAATTGCAATTAGCCCCTAAATTAATAAAAGCTCCAATCAGACAATTTATCTCTTCACTTTTATGCATTTAGCCAATAACTTCTTAACTTTGTTTAATTAGCTTATTTTGCAGGTAAACTCAATGTAATTGCAGGTAAAATTGAATATTCGGCTACTCTTCCGACAATCTATTTTTAACAAAAAAAAATAAAAAAAAAAAATCACCTCATTCAAGAACCCAACTACATGAACAAAAGACACTCAACGAAGAGCAAGCAAGTGAGATGATACAAGCAAGTGAGATGATACATTAAACCGTGTAAATAAAATCCAAGAAAATAAACCCTAGATTTGAATTAAAAGCAATAAAAAGAGATAAGAGTGTTTTGAGAAAACTTACTTGTTTGAGCTTGGACTATTGATTATGATGAGAATGTTAGCAAATCTTTGAGCCCGCGTTCTATGTTGAGAGACCAGATAAGAAGAAGATACACAATGAAAGGGAGATGTGAGCAAACAAATGAAACATTAATTTTATGTTAGAAAAGAAAAAGAATAATTTTGTATTTTTTTTTTACAAAAAGATGAAATTGAAAATATCATGTAGAAATATGAGATTTTAATTCGATGAAAATAAAGAAAATGCAATATTACATACTTACAAATTTTTCCAATAAAAAATTGAAAGAATTTACTTACATTCGAAATTATGTGGAGTCAAATTTTAATTCTCTTCAATCAGATGAGATATTATTGATTGGTTAATTTACTTCACGAATTACAATGATTTCATTTTCGATCTGCCAAATTGGAAATAAAGGATGTGGTCCATAATAAAGAAAATCCAATATGGAAATACATTTAAGGATTCCCATATCACACCATAATTACAGTAATTAGGGAACTACGATGTACGAATTTGCCTGTATAGAAATTTTCAGTAATTTCCAGAATTGGAGTGATTCCCATTTTTTATTTGTCGTAATTATTGATTGTCTTTACCCAATTGCAGAAATTATTAATTGATTAATTTACTCCCCAAAATGGAATGATTTCCTTTCCAAACATTCAAAAGTATTAATTGATTATTTTCTCATCATACGGTAATTACAATACACTTTTTTTTATATGGGTAATTACACTAATTAATAGCGAACAATGTTTGTATGGGTAGCTCAACTGGTCACAGAAGTGAAATTTCACTACTGAAAATTATGAAATTTCCGACCACCTGAAAGTGATCTTAAGTCAAGTTGAAAGCAAAAAGTGGTCGGAAATAGCAACAAAGATTAATACCAAAAGTGATCGGAACAAGGCTTTCACAGTAGTGTTTGGCACAATAGACCAATGATCGAGTTTCATCAGCAGCAGTGTG